ATTAGCTTATTTTAGAACACCTGATAATCCTGTGGTTTTTCACAAGGAGGCAGACGATCTAGTGGAGGTCCTTCAGCGTTAAGAAAAGCAAAATCTGCCTATCTAAACAGAGAATGCAAACTTCCATTCTAGATGTAAGTGTGCGATAATATAAGGAACCAAACAGTTGCCCCGGGGGCAGGATGCCTGGGTTCCAGTCTAGGCCTGGCCACTGATTTGTCGTCGAACCCCGGTGGATTCGTCCACCTTCTGGTCTTCTGGTGTCCTATCTATGCGGCAGCCAGGTTAGCACCAGATTCTCCTGACTGGGGGAATGTCTGTTGAAGCTCAGGTAGGAAACCACAGGGGAAGCAATAAAACACCTTCCTTCCAAACAAGATGGCTTAAGTATCAAGTCAGTGTACTTTATGACTTGTTTGGAACAAAAGGTAGTCTCAGCTCTTTATATATGGACAATCCTAGGTAGATTTATAATTAATACTTAGGACTTAGCAAGGATTGAATTAAACTTATTAATCTAAATTGATCTCAAAAGGAGCTCTAGGTTAAAAAGGGAGATTTGTGACCTTATGGATGGCACCTTCCCAATTCTATAATGGTGAGATTCTTGCATTTGCCTCTATCTGAAGGCCAGTAGGGCAATTTGAATTGAGGAGTAATTAATTTGTTAACAGAGCTACTTCTCCAAAGTGACTAGCCTTATGATGCCGGCGCTTTCCGTGAGCTGAGGGGCATCTGCCTGGGATTCTGTGCATCTTTTCATGGTTCCCCTCCCTCCCTCCCTTCCTTCCTTCTACCATATGTTTTTCTTAGCCCATAAATAGAGCAGCAGTGAGGACTGAGGAGAGTCTGCCCAGGGGCCCCCATCCCAGGGTAAAGTGTGGGAATTAAGGGTGAGCAGCTTGGCTGTTTCCCCTTGGTCGGAGCCATGAGGAGGAGAGCAGCTCTTGGCAGCTTTCAGAGGAAAGGAGAGTCTCGGGGCCAGGGCCTCCTAATTTACTGTCTCTAGATTTTCCCCATTATACTAAAAACAACTGTTTATCAAAACAAAACAGGCAGGACAAAACAAAACAAAAAAGACAGGCAGTAGCAGTTGAGAGTTAAGAGAAGAGATGTCGTGGGTCTGCATGCCTGACTTGGAATCTCAGTTTTGCCACTTGTTTGCCACATGGCCTTGGCAGAGTCCTTAACCTCTCTGTGACCCCATCTCCTCTGTCATCTGATTAAGGGATAATCATTGCCCCCATCATGGAGTAGAAAAAGGAGGGTTATGAGTTAATACCTGTGAAGTGTTTAGAACAGTACCTGACACATCGTAATTGCTATATAAGTGTTATCCAAATAGATAGTCTCTATTTGATTATTAGACAGATAATCAAAATTGATTTAGACCCAATATTAATTCTTTTTTATGAACTGAACTGTCATAAAACTTGAGCTGTAAATTTCCAGGCTGTTGGTGCTGTAGATGTAATGGATTGTCAATCACTGTAAGTATAAAATGACATCTAAAACACATCCACAGTGCAAATGAAATCACAGCTAGTGGTAGGCAGACCGAGCTAAACTTTACAAACAAGCTGCCCGGGAGTATTTCAGTAGTTGGCCTGGTTCATGTGTTTCCCTGTTTCCAATTAAATTCTTACAGGAAATATAAACACAAACCAGCTAAAACCAGTGGCAACTCCAGGCCAAGCTCCAGGCTTGGATCTTGGGCTTCCTGAAACACAACCCAGAAACCAGCAGTCTTGGTGCATCCTCTTATGAACTGATTTGGTGCTTGCCAAAATCACAGTTGAAATGAATAGATTGTATTTTAATGCTACCCGTTAGTACCAAAACATAAAGCATAATTGATCTTAGATTACAAAGCAGATCAAAAGTTAAATACCAGATTTTATGGCTTGTATATTTCATACCTCCAGGAGTTGACATCTGTACATTAACTAGCATAGATTTGGATTATCTTGCTGTTTTTAGTTTATGTGAGCTAGGAGGCATGGAAAGGGAGAAAAGTAGACCTTACTCTGTGTGCTTACTCTGTGAGCAATGTTTGATAGTAGGTAAGTAGGAAAAAATTAATGAGAGTAAGAAGCAATGTCTTTCTAGTTCTAGCTTAAATTCCTATGGCTGGTTTTTGAAAATTCGAAAAATCCACTAACTGTTTTCTGCAGTCTCTGGAAAGTGACTCTGTGATCAGAAGAGGATCACTTACGGAGAATAGAGAATTACCTTGTTTATTTTTAGAAAAATGGGTTGCAGTCGGGCGTGGTGGCTCATGCCTATAATCCCAGTACTTTGAGAGGCCGAGGCAGGTGGATCACCTGAGGTTGGGAGTTTGAGACCAGCCTGACCAACATGCAGAAACCCCATCTCTACTAAAAATACAAAATTAACTGGGCGTGGTGGCACATGCCTCTAATCCCAGCTACTCGGGAGGCTGAGGCAGGAGAATCACTTGAACCCAGGAGGCGGAGGTTGCAGTGAGCCGAGATTGCGCCATTGCACTCCAACCCAGGCTACAAGAGTGAAACTCCGTCTCAAGAAAACAAGAAAAACAGGTTGCAGTAAGGAGAAGACATTTTTATTCTCTCTTAGTCCTGAACATGATTTATTTTTTTTTCCTGCTCTTCCTCCCTGTAAGATTTCACACATCTTAGGGAGACCGCTGGATCAAGAGTGCAGAAGCCATTGGGGGGCGGCGGACGGGGTACTGTGACTGTCGCAGTCCTCACAGTCGTCTCCCGGGTGGCAGCTGAAGCGGCACTATTCCACTCAACTCTGCCTTCTTCAGAGTGTGGGGCAGGTGCTGATGTTGAGACTGTGACCTTCAGATTGTATTTACTGGCCACCCAGACTCTTTCCCCAGTAGCTCAGCTTTGTCAACAGATGTCAAAGATGAGTGACCGAAGAACCAGATATAGGAGTGGGAGCTTATGGAAGCTTTTTAAAACAAGCAGACACCTTCTGTCTTTTTTTTTTTTTAGGCAGAGTCTCGCTCTTCACCCAGGCTGGAGTGCAGTGGTGCGATCTCGGCTCACTGCAAGCTCTCCGCCTCCTGGGTTCATACCATTCTCCTGCCTCAGCCTCCCAAGTAGCTGGGACTACAGGTGCCCGCCACCATGCCTGGCTCATTTTTTTGTATTTTTAGTAGAGACAGGATTTCACCATGTTAGCCAGGATGGTCTTGATCTCCTGACCTCGTGATCTGCCTGCCTCAGCCTCCTAAAGTGCTGGGATTACAGGCGTGAGCCACCACGCCCGGCCACCTTCTCTTAAAAGATAGTCGTACCTTATAACCTTGCCTTTTCATGGGCCAGTGCTAGAGTCCCACAATTTTGAGTCTGACTTTTCCTCCCTGTGGACATTTCTGTCTCAAGCTGGAGACATAAAGCAAATGTGGAGAGGCAGCTCTATTTGGATGTGGATGGCAGCCAAACGAAACCTGGAATGTGGCAGGAGTGTAATTGTTTGGCAGCCCTGGCCTCAGCACTAGTGACTGTGTGACAACTTCCACCCCGCATTGTCCAAAGTAGGGATGCTCCAAAGCTGTTGCCTATGGCAGTGAGCAGGGGTGGACTGCCAGGTCCCTCAAGCACCCAGTTCTTTCTGACTTGGATGTCTGCTCTGGACCAGCCCTAGGCCAGTTCATGCTGGGTGCTGGCCTCCAAGGAGCTCCGGTGTCTTTAACTTACCAGCCTAGATCAGGATGCAGTGTGAACCATATGTGATTAAGCACTAAATTGTTTGGTACGAGCAGAAATCAATAACCCCTAAAGTTTCCTTGAGTAAGAGTTCTAAGTACTGCATAATGAGCTGTATCTGGTTATGTTTCATAATCAGAATACTGAAATTATGGTTGGACTGTGTTCACAGTAGAAAACTTTTTCCAAAAAAGTACAGCTTATTGGACAAGTAAGATAGTCTGTGTCCTCATTCCTTAGCACAATGCTTAGCACATGATTTGGACTTGAATATTTGTTCTGGCTGATCCTTAGTTTTTTCATCCATGTAATTATTTGATTACCTTGAATTGCTCACTTCTTGTCTTTTAGGACTGTTTACAATAATGTTATCTAGTGAGCCTCAGGAAACACCTTAAAGGCTATTGAAATTCTGTTATCATTTGATGCTTGGATTCTGCTACAAAATGGTTGGTCTTGAAACTAAGATATTAGACCTTATGATGCCATTTTGAAGCTCACTGTCTTATAAACTGAGGTGTCGGCTGCAAATGGGGTGCCAGAGATGTAACAATTCTTAATCATCGTTTCGTTTTTTTGAGACAGAGTCTCACTCTGTCACCCAGGCTAAAGTGCAGAGGTGTGATCTTGGCTCACTGCAACCTCTGCCTCCCAAATTCAAGCGATTCTCCTGCCGCAGCCTCCTGAGTAGCTGGGATTACAGGCACCCGCTACCGTGCCTGACTAATTTTTGTATTTTTAGTAGAGACCAGGTTTCACCATGTTGGCCAGGTTGGTCTCAAACTCCTGACCTCAAGTGATCCATCTGCCTTGGCCTCCCAAAGTGCTGGGATTACAGGTGTGATCCCCTGTGGCCAGCCATAATCATAATTTCTCGAGCACTAATTGTGTGCCCAGCCCCAAATGCTTTCTGAGGAAACTGAGGCATGGCTATATGGCAACCTAATAGAGGTGACCCAGCTGCCTCACCCTGGTTTGTTCTTGTAGATGTAATGGTAGGTGGCATTTCAAATGGGTTTCTATGTAACAGATAGCATTTATAGAGTTCTTACTATATGCCTGACACTAACTCCTTCAATCCTCACAAAAGCCTTTTGAGGTACGTATTATTGCCATTTTAGAAATAAGTAAACTAAGGCTCAGAAGTAATATAACTTCTCTGAGGTAGAACAGAAGTTTGGTGCCAGGATTTAAACCCAGGTTTATCTGATTCTGGTGAACACACACTAACTCACGGTGACTTACTATATCTGTCTCACAATGTTTTATTCTCAGCATTTGTCATTTCTTCAACAGACTCAACAAAATGAAACCAGGAGGCTTTTGGCTGCATCTCACACTGCTCGGAGCCTCCCTGCCGGCCGCGCTGGGATGGACGGACCCGGGAACCAGCAGAGGCCCGGATGTGGGTGTGGGGGAGTCACAGGCAGAGGTATAGTCAAATCCCCGCTGACATAACGTTTCAAACTGATTGCTCTCTGATGTTACAGTATCTGATTTCTTCTCCACCTTTAGTTTAGATCAATTAGATCACAGAGTGAATTAAAATTGCACTTCCTTTTTGGTGGGGGACAGAAGGCGGCAACGTGTGGATACGGACAAGAGGTTGATAACGCGACGTGAGTGATGACTCTGAAACCTCTCAGATGCTGAAAATGTATTCCGAAACCAAGCTTGAGTTGCCTGGTTAGTCTCTACAAAGACCCTCAAGAGAATGGCCTTTCTGTATGTTTAATAAAACCCTGAAAATGCAGAGTAATTGGTGGAGTACACCCATGTGAATTAATGAAGTATTTTAATTATAAAATATATTTGAAAAGAAATGGACTAGTTTTCAGGTATATAGATAAAAAGCACCAGGCTGAGAAAGAACTGGCAAGTGGAGGTCCTAAGGGAGAGTGCTTTAATGAACAGATAAGAATGATTAATGGCATGTTAGGTATATATAAATGCTTCTAAAGTGCTTGAAAAACTTGTTCTCAAATACCTCCCTGGAGAGTCTGGATGTTCTGCTAATTGCTTAGTGAACCCTGCTCTTAAGTAGTAAAGAGGATTCCTAAGCTGCAACCTGGCCCTGCCCAAGGTAATAGATCCCATGAATTTGGGGTTTGTGGGCAAAATGTATTTTTCTGCAGAAAATGCTTTGTGTGTGCTGACCCTTAAGAAATGGCTTCACCCTTCCATTAAAACCACCTGGGATTTTCTCTATGCTGTGACGAATACTCATTCCTAATAGGGCGCTTTCCAGGGCGCTTTTCCTGCCATTGTCTTCCTTGATGCCTGCCGTTCTCTTTTTCTCTGTCCCTGTTTCCTGTCTCGCAGAATGAGAAATAAAAATTACCTCAAAAAGTCAACATTCCCGGAGAGTGAATAAGGTTACTCAGTGTAGGGTAGGATTAATGCATTATTTGATCAAAAGACATGATTTCTCTTTCATTATTACTTAATTGTAATGCAATCCCAAAACTACCAGCCTTAATCTTTGGGGAGCTTCAGAAGTAATTTAATGTACACTTTTCCTGCTGAAGTTAGTGTGCCTTCCTTTTGTGGTGAGCAGATGATTAAATAGAAACACTATCTCTGCCATCTAAATCCATGAAGGACGCGACTTAATGCTCTTCTGAAAGAGTCTGGAGGCTGGCTTGCTGGTGAGAACAGCAGTTCCCTATGGGAACGGCTTTATCAGCACACTCATATCCATACGAAGAGAAAATGATCACTTAAATCCTACACATATATTGTGGAATATTTAATAGCAAAGCAAACAGACAAACACACAGTAAAGCTTAGTCTTCCTACTATTGGGGCTCATCAGCCCACTGTTTTAAACCACTTATTTCAAATAAAAGTGTCAAGTCAATTAAGGTGGGATTTAGCTGGAGGTAAGTTGAAGGTAAGTTAATATCAACCCAGGGCCTCTTTATCTTAGCTGTTAACACCCTACTTCTTTGTGTGTCAACAAGAAGGAGCACATGCCAGTCATTGGGAGGAAGTCACGCTTTTTGGGGGTTGTTATTTTGCTCCCCTGCAACCCCCGCTCCAGGGTAGCTTTTGTCTTCCAAGTCCAGGAATGTTGCTGCTTTAGGAAAGGAAAGTGATGACTGTGTAGATTCTGCACCACAGGAACTATTGCCCTATTGATCATATATATAGTTTTTTGCTATAGCTTTTGTTTTTGCAATATTGTAACTTCTAATCATTGAAACTGTTTCTATCAGTGATTAAATGAGATGATAATGGAAATGGACCTAGGGCATAGGATGGCCTAGGTTAAATGTTTAGCTGCAGAGAACAGAACACTGCCAGGTACGGTGGCTAACACTTATAATCCAAGCACTTTGAGAGGCCGAGGTGGGCAGATCACTTGAGTCCAGGAGTTCAAGACCAGCCTGGGCAACATAGCAAAACCCTGTCTCCACTAAAAATACAAAATTAGCTGGGTGTGGTGGTGCACTCTTGTAGTCCCAGCTACTCGAGAGGCTGAGGTAGCAGTATCACCTGAGCCTGGGGAAGTCCAGGCTGCAACAAGCCATGATTGCACCATTGTACTCTAGCCTGGGTGACAGAGTGAGACTATGTCTGAGAAAAAAGAAAAAAAGAAAAAGAAAAAACCTGAAGGAAAAAAAAGAAAACAGAGAGTGGAGCACTTATTTTAGTGGATTTGTTTGCATCCGTTGCTCATACTCTGTGCATCCCTCCATGCACTCCCACGGCCCTGCTTACCAGGGGCCTCCTGCGGGGCGTGCTGTTTCTTCTTTCTATGTCTCTCCTTTCTACACCTGACTCTCCTCCTCCTTCAGGGCCCAGCTCTGGTTCTTACTTCTTCTTTAGAATCTTCTTGGACCACTCTTGGTCACACCTGGTCTCTTTTTCTGAACTCTTAGTCCTTCCTCTCTCTTTTTGTTTTCTTACTCTTTTATATTTATGTTAGCATATGGATGGAGCCTATCTTATTTATCTTTTCTTTCTCACAGTGTCTAATAATTTTATAAGCAAAATAGAGGTTCAATGCATTTTTAAGCCAATCGATATTTATGTGACATTTGGTCCTGGTCATAAAGTCACTCTGGTGCTTCCAAAATTCAGACCAGACCATCAGATATTTCAGCACAGGGCATACCTCCCTGCACAGCAGGTTCACTCCCACTGCGGAAGTGGATGGTTTCCCCAGCCGATCTGTGAGCAGCCTGCAGGCCAGGCAGGCTTGCATCCTAATATCCAAGATAGTCCTTGCGCGTTATAGTTTCTGGGTAGTTTCGTATTTGAATTGTAGCTTTTAATGTATCGATAACTCACAGTCCAAACTATATTAAACTCCTCTAGCAGTTTCCTCAGACAGTCTTATTTCCTGGAAGAATCAAAACCAGCAGAGTTTCCTGAGACTCTAAATAAGTCAAAAACATTTTTTAGGAACCAGATAGTAAACTGTTTCTGTATGTTTCTTCCTGGTAGTAGTACTTCACACAAATACTCATTGACTTAAGATTTTTAAAGTACTTAGAAAGCATTAATAAGATTTGATTTACCCTTAAAGTTATTATACCAATTACTTGAATGACCTAAGGGTAAATAGAATTAAATGACCAACGAGTGTGTGTGCGCATATTTTTAAAGCAATTATAGCAAGTGTTAAATTATTGTTTTATGTACAGAGACTGCAGTGGAAATAGCTTCAAGGAGTTTACCATTTTACAGACATAGATAAAAAGAAATACGGCTGGGTGGAGTGCCTCTTTCGTAAGAGTGGAGTGGCAGAACGTGCCCTAGAATACTAATGGAATTCTCAATTCAGAGGAAACAATTCTGAGAGGTACAATTTATTGAAATAATGAAATGTTGTTGTATCCCCCCCCTTTATCCTACACAGATGCTCTTTGACTTACAATGGGATTACATCCAAATAAACCCACTGTAAGCTGAAAACATCATAGGTCAAAAATGTATTTCATACACCTATGCTACCAAACATCATAACCTAGTCTTTCCTGCCTTCAGCATTCTCAGAACACTGACATTAGCCTACACTTAGGGCAAAATCATCTAACACAAAAACTATTTTATAATAAAATGTTGAACATCTTATATAATTTATTGAATACTGTACTGAAAGTGACAAACAGACGGGTTGTATGGGCACTTAAAAGTACAATTTCTACTGAATGTGTATCATTTCCATACTATTTTCATGCTGAAAAATCCTAAGTCAAACCAAACCTAAGTCAGGGACTGTCTGTACGCTGGTCAAGATAAATATAGTAGTAAAATCAATATTGGTAGAATTTTATATTTCGGGGGGAACCAAGGAACCAGGAAGGGGTGAGAAGTGATATGGTAGCAGCCTCCAAAGAGCAGACCTGCTTTTGAGAAATAGGCATTTGTGGGAGCCCTCCACTTTTGGGGCCTGGGTGCTGCAGTGGCAGCCCCCCACTTTTGTGGCCTGGGTGCTGTGGCAGGAACCTCCCCTTTTGGGGCTTCGGTGCTGCCATTGGAGCCACCCCACTTTTGGGGCCAGGATTCTATTGTGGGAGCACCCCACTTTTGGGTCCTGGGTGCTGTGTTGCAGCACCAGCATCTCATCTGTTTGCTGGGCTCTGGGATTGAATGGTGGCCGTTACATGGTCTTATACATCTTTCATGCATTTTACTGAACTTTTTCTAAATGACTCTTACCCATGGCATATACATAGTCACGTACTATATACCTGTACATGTTAATATTGATTCCTTCTTAAATTGTCACCTCATATGCCTCAGTGCTTATAGACCAGAGATAGGTTTTGAGCTCAGACACCATGGGTTTTCAGTATTTGCAAATTCTCTCAAAGTAAAGTCTTTGCAGAAGACATATGTGGAGTGGTGTCAGCTAACTTAAACATGACTCACCACCTCCCTAACCTCAGGGGTCAGCCTAAGACAGCATTGATCCTACCCTGATTGCCTGGCCCCTTCCCCTTGCTACAAGTGTTGACGACAGGCATGGCACTCCTGTCCCCACAAGGGCAACCTCAAATTGCAGCATCCTTAGATGCTCCGTGGCTTCGTTCTGCCTTGGCTGGGCATTCAGTAGTACTTGGGCTGCGAAGACTGAGCATTGATTTTTCCAAAACACTTTCACTGTTCTTGTGTATTGGTTGTCTTAACACTAGTGCCCCTCACCCCCAATCACCCTTTCTGATAAAGTTCTCCCCAGCACCCATAACCCTGACTGTGCTCTTTGACTGATTACTGGTGAACAGCTGATCGTCTGTAGGGTTTGAGATCTGCCCATTGGTGTCTCTACTCACCCTGGCCCTCAGCTGGTTTGTGGGCATAAATAAAAGAAACTCTTTCTTTCCTGTGAACCAATGGGGGTCCAAGCTGGGTGTTCTTAAGCCTCACCTGCAGTATGTGTGCATCTCTCATGGCTTTTCTGCCGCATCACCCTTGTGATAC